TTTTTTTTTTTTTCCAATTCTTAGATTCAAAATTTCTTTCAAAAATTCTCTACACTCAATTGTTGTTGTTGTTGTTGTTAGCGGCTTTATTTAAGTATTAATTTGCACTACAATGTGCCCATAATTAGGCTACCTGTTTCATGTCGTTTCTTACACTGGCTTCACGAATAAGTCTTGAAGTTTATCCACGTAAAGCTGAATTTATGGCCTTCGGTGGAGCAACCAAACATGTTCTGGTCAACAAAGGTTACACACGTATTGCTGTCAAAGTGAAATGTAGCAACAATAAACTGTACAAAGTATCACCTGTTTATTCATTTATTGATCCTGGAGCTTCCCAGGATCTTGAGGTGTGACTTTGGTCGTCAATATTCTAATGAACCTTTCAACTAATTTTTAGAGTGGTCTGCAAAGCTCATTTTTAACAGTAACTGTATACTCCAATTACGACAGTGTTGCCCAATGATCACTTTACAGCAACTCTAATTGCTACGCAGAACAAAAAAAAAAGTCAGAAAAAAGTTTAGATTTTCCATTTACAGTCTTCCGCTGGTTAACTTCTGGAAAAAGCTGCATCAAAATTAAATCTGCATCAACAGATTTAATACCACCGCATTCTTAACAGTCTCTGATGTTTCCTTCCAACATCCTTTTATTCAGAAAACATTGTTCGTTTTATGACTACCAATGGTATTTTGCAGATTCTGCGTAACGAAGGTGAAGCGAGAATTGACAAGCTAGTTTTAGTCTACAAACGAGCACTTCCAGATGATCAAGACCCAAAAGCAACCTTTACATCTGTTACAGGCTGTCACAAAATTGTTTTACCTCTGATTGTTCTTTCTTAGTGACCTGAACCTTCTATTATCTTGCTCCTTTTTCTTTTTTGCTCTAAAATCCATTACATAATTGTGAATGAACTTTATACCGCTGTTCCATATTAAACTTATAAAAAATGATGCACCTTATAATGTAACGTTTCTGTGATTCTTCTTAATCCCTTATTATCATTCAGATTGCTCACTGCAATGACTGCAAACAGTCGTGGTAGCTGTTCAAAAAATTAGAACCATTAGAAATACAGAACTTTTCTTACGCAAAATAGAAGTACTTTTGTTTTTATAAAGCTTCTAACTTTTTTCTTTTGTACAATTGTTACTCAGAAAAAAAAAAAAAAAAAGAGGAGAATAGTTATTTGTAGTCTAGGAATTTATTAATAATTTAATAATTTACACAGTAAAATTTTGATAATTTTATATGCTTTTGAAAGCATTATGCGTAGAAAATATCATCAAGACGTTCCTTTGGTTTGAAAATTTTCATCATTCCCTACGCCAGATTCCTTATCTCCTTTTGATGGCTCTTGCTGGGGGACGGTTTCACTTGAATTGTCGTTGTTAGACTGAAAACAGAAGGCTGGTATGACTTTGTGTATCGAGAGCAACTGGACAGATATTAAAGCGGTATAGGTAATAAATACGTCCCATTCTGTTACTTTCAACCATAGTGCCAAAGAAATGAGTATGAAATAAACCTCCACAGATTAACGTATTAAAATTAAATTTTTGCTGTGTGTTCCGCTTATTTATAGTGAATTTTAAATCACTAAAAACTAACGCCATCTTGATCTCTATTAAGCTCTTTCAGCTCCCAAATGCTTGTCGACTTTTTCTTTGTAACGTTCTTTGACAATTCCAGGAGAGATAATTCCTCAGCAGATATGCCGGTAAAAAGTTGAGGATAACTACTGGATTCTTGCAAAACCTCAAGAGGGTTTTTAAAATGACTCGCTGAGTGCCTTCGGTTCCACATTGGCGAATCAGAAAATTTTCGATAAACTAACTCAGATTCTCTGCCAAGATCTGCAAAAAATTTCAACTGAAAGATTTTGATGGTCAGGTTTAAAGTATAAAAATATACTCAAGTTCAAACCCCCCTTGATCATTAATTTAAAAAAATATAATCCTTCTACTCTAACTTGATCAAAACCTTAATTTTTGATAAAGTAAGCAGATAACTGCTAAAACTTATAATATTACAAAATCATCATGTTTATTTGACTTACTGCCAATCCTCTTGTACGGAGGAAAGTCAATCGAAGCACAACTACCATTTCTCTTGTAAATAACACTGGCATCATTATTATCAATGTCGTCTGTGCTCGTGCCCACAGCGACGGTGTGAATAACTTCGCTCTTAAAGACCGTTCTGTAATGTTGTTTTCTCTAACTCATCTCTTCAAGTTAACGCTTTAGACATTAAAAGCTTCAGCTTCCCAAATTTCAGAGGAAGACACAATAAAACTTAGTGAATTATTTTTGAGATTTTTTTAGAATTAAAAGGTTTGACTTTTTATCTTCACCAGACGCAAGTTGTTGAGAAACGTCAGGAACAGATGGCAGTTTACTAAGTATCGATTCTACTTTCGGCATTTTATTATCATCTTTGTTTTTAGTATGCAGCCTAAAATCAAAGACTATGCAGATAAAATACAATAAAGAGGCCATGACGTATTCCTCTATAAAACTTTCTTACTAGGTCAAACTGAAAAGTAGGGCTAAAATAACTTACCTGGCGTGAATAGCTGAACCAATTAGAGGATGTTGGTGAATTACAGCAGATGCCCTAGAATAAATCTGTTCGACTTGACCACTTTCCCAGAACTGATCAGTTCCCACCGGAGGTGCATCAGCCCGACATTCATCAACTATGCATAAAGAAGTCTATAAAAGCCCAATTAATAATTCGAAGTCATGTGCTCTCAGTTTTTTGAAATCGCTGTACACATTATGAAAAGCATTTTTCAACAAGAACAACTAGCTCACAGCTAGATTCTTATCGAGAAGATAGTTACACTCAAAATCATCGTCATCTTCCCCCATTGGATTTAACAGTACTTCTGCCGCTTTCATCCAACCAACATAAAACACAAATTCCACTATGGTCATTACTGGTACAACCAAATCAACCTTGAGAAAAATTTTTAATTTAGTGGCAAAAAGAACAATAAATTTCAGATAAAAGTAGTAAATTTTTAGCTTTAATAGGAAAGTAAATGGCAGATATTGCCGCTTATATACCGGTTTGCACTAAAAGTCTACAAAAAATTTTTAGAAGAATGGTTGCAGTATAAAAAATCTCTTACATTGCTTTTTTCTGCGAATTCCTCTTCTCCGGTTAAAATAAACTGTCGACTGATTAGGCAAACAAGAAAATAGAAATACACAGCGAGCATGATTACCTATCAAATTGAAATATGAAACAGTACACGTCGCAACTTGATTATTCTACCCTCTAACTTACAAGTTAAATAGCTGAAGCATTTTACTTGAGGGTACACTAATGGTAGCGGCACCCAGTCGTAGTTACACAGCATTTGAAGATTGGTACGAAAAACTTTGAGTTCCTGAAACTCTAGCACTACATCTTATTATAAACAAACACTAAACTTCATCGTTTGAAAAGTTGTTGAACATCCCTTCAAAAAAAGTACTGAATCCCAAGCTGAAGTTTCATATATCTTAAAAACATTGTGCTACCCTCTTTAATGAGTTACCTCAGTGATTTTTCCAACATCAAAATGTTTTGGATAAGCAAAAAAGCAACGAAGTTTCTCTGTTGCTTTGCCAGAAATCAGTTTGAAGAATTTTGTCTGGGAGGTAAGAAACAACGTGTATACTTTTTGGCCCCTAAATGTATTAGCACTACTGTTATGATTTTCCTCTTCTGTCTTAAATTCAAGATCAGAGATTTTAAATGAAGTTAGGATGAATAAAAAAGATTTGTTTTACTTAGCCATCTTTCTTACATCGCACATTTTATTTGTCATTACATCGCTTGTAATTTTACCGGCTCTTCGTGCCTCGAAAAATAAATTATACGACCAGTTAATAGGCACCCAGTACTTGTCATAATTTAGTTGATACCCGAGAAGTTTTTCTTTTTCGTGTTCCAGCATGAAACCTAAACTTAAATGCAGATTTTTCAACGAAAGCAACAGTTTATTGTTTGCTAGTAACGCTGAACAGCCGTCACTATAACGTAGATATAAGACCACAAATAAACTATCCCGTATTCCGCATATTAGAGATATAGTGATCCTAAATAAACACTATAAAGATACTAATTTGGCACAGTAAAAATTTTAAAATAACCTGCTTTCACTAAAGAATCGTAAGTTGGAAAACGTTTTCGAACCGCTACAGAAATGTCTCGAAAGACTAGGGCTTGCGAAAGACACATATACCGAACCATAGCGCGACGCTGAAGTCGAGTTACTTCATCGTCGCCCTGTACATAATTGCTAACAAACAAGGCCTGACTAGAAATTACTTACAAATATTATGTAGCATTTGTCAAATGTTCTGTTGTAAAAATGATAATATTTAAAATTAAAAATTATTTTTTTAAAATAGTGATTTTATGTAATCAACCTTTCAATGTACCCCATGTTCCGGAAAATCACAGTCCATCTGGATATGATGGTACTGACATAAAAGCCCAAAATAAAAGTTAATGGAATGAAACTTAAGTGTCTGTCTAAATAGCGGGCAATCTGTTCAAAAGATCTAAAAAGATTACTCTTAAACAGACAGGAAATGGTGGACAAATCTGAATGGTTTATATTTTACAGTCTTTTTGAAAAAATCAGCATTCCATGACTATTTTCAAAAAATGATCAACAAAAGAAAAGTATGAAAAATTATAAAACATAGAACCGGATCACTTTAACGTAGTTATGAAAACCAGAAATAAAAGATATTCAAATTTTAGCAACAACTATGGCAACTAGTGGAAGGAACAAAAAAGTTACACTTTTTGTTGTTCCGACAATATAAATGAAGAGCGATAGCAAAATGCAATTAGGAAATATGCTATCATCCAAATAGACAGTTCTAAAAGAACATTTTTCCAGATGCTTGCTTTCCATCGAAAAAGTAACCGAAGAAAACAGAGCGCTGATGCTTTTGCAACGTCAAGTTGGTATGAGATTGTCATTTGACTTAGCTGCTTTAGACTATAAGCAAATGCTGGAAATAAAAGCATGTAAAGAAAATTTGAAACATAAATCAAAATAAATTGAAAAAAACTTTTTACTGACCTTCAAAATAAGTTTTAGTAACTTCAGCTACACAAAGCTTGAATAAGTTCAGCTACATATCCTCATGTAATCCTCCTAAGTTCCAAAGTTTTCCCACTAGACAGTGTGAAAACACTGGCGAGAAACGAAGAAAGTCCAACGGAGAAAAGCAACCTAAAAGTTTTTCCTTAACGCAATGAAATGTTTTTTTCGAAATATTCGGTGATAAATAAATATCTAAAATTCACCAAAAATTGATGACCAAGTTTAGTAATTAACAAGTCACTGCTTAAGTATGGTTGTACAAAAGGACGCAGTAAATCACGGGAGAACATAAATGTCGGTGTGCGTCGTATTGAATTGATAAGAGTAGAGAGTTATTGTCAGTCCAAAGCCAAACACTGTTTTCACGTGCAGTACCGTAAATCATTCCTTTCACTGCATCTGTAGCATTGCCAGATTTGGAAAATGCAAAATAATTTGTACGTAAAGGAATCTCTGAATTACACAATTCCTTCAGCAAAGCTGCATGCCCATATCAAAAGTGCAGTTATCGCACACTTTACATTGCCACTCAGTTTTGATGAGTGTTTTCAACAGCTCAAAATATCGCGATTGAAATGTGTTATCATTGAATGATTAGAATTCTCGGTTGTAGTGGATAGATAGTAAAATCAAAATACTATCTGTTTGATACTAATGTCTATCATACTAGAAAAACTGTCACACTAGAAATTTCAAAAAATTTTTTCAATACCAATAGATCATTTGCAGTTTACTGTTCCACAGAAATCCAAAATTACTGTATCACTAAGCTGCTCAAACAGTCACTGTAAAAAAACAACAGTGACTACAGACTTTACATTAAGGAAATCGTGGTCAAAAACCATTTTGAACTGCACTGGGATGTATAGGGTACCGTCCAATAACTCTGACAAATTATTGTTGATAAATTCACGACTCTATACAAGACAAGAGTGACTTTTTGCAAATTAATTTTCCTTACTCCATAACGACTATGATGCTACCGACCAAACTTTTATCAACTTGCTCGGCAAGGATAGGTGTTGGTTGATAAATCTTTATGATTTATTAAAATTTAACGAGGGTAACCTAATGAACCCCTTTTAAAATTGTGCAATAATTTCAAGAATTTTGCTCAAATTTTTTAAACAAATAACAGTTTCAATCTAATATCGACAAGTTGGCATCGAATACCGTCAACGTTTGAAAAAATAAGTTATCGTCCCGAAAGACAACATTCTCCTTACGGTAAAAACATAACGAACCTACCCTTGGGACCAGGGTACTCCTGCAGCTTAACAAGCATCGGCAAATATCTGTTATTTCCTGGAAGTGAACTTTTGTATAACTGCTAAATTTTTTGCTTATGATATTACTTTGTTCAAGCATTGAAAAAGAGGTTGCGTAACCGTCAGGACCTTTCAGCGAAGTTCTACAGAACAGCATTGCCGAAATAGCGCGAAATCCCGCTTGACCCCGAAAATAATGCTGCAGTGCAGACCGCCTGTACTTCAAAAGTGAATTGATTGGACGAAACTTTCATGCATCCCCCGAGCTCTGCATTCTTTCAATTCAGGCAATCTGACTGATTAACCTTCTTATCGTCGCACAACTTCAGCACAACCCTAATTATGGAACTGCTTACAGACTTCCAGCATACGACTATCCACTCGTTGCGCGAAAAACAGAAACCAGACAGGCGGCAAATTCAGTCAGGCAGTAAATTTTTTCTTTTCAGGACCATTTGCGCGCGTAATGACGCTGCGCTGGGAAAGTGCCAAAAATTTTTCACAGGTCCTTATCAGTGTTACGTTCTGATTTCCTTCCGTATTATCGCACTGCAGTTATGGTTCTTTGCTTCTCCTTAAAATTTTTTCTCATCACCTACCTTTTTTCTTCCAATACATTATTTTTATGCATATTGGTAATTATGAAATCGCTTTCCTTAAACGGCTTTTTGTTATATCCCCAGCGGCTTCTGTAAACAAAAAATAATTCCATCCTGTATGAGCGATTGTTTTAGTACTGTTTTTAAAGGGAGACCTATAAACTATTGAAAAAAACTTACTGAGGGAAATGGCCCAAGATTGGAAGTAGATTTAGAGTCATACACCCGAAGATTAAGTACTGCAGCGATTAATACTAGCCCGTAGTGTAAAGCTGTGATCGTGTTTCCCCTCTCCGTAACAATATTTTTTTTGTCGCTCGTTAACGCTGCCGGAATGTTGATTACATTTTTGCCAGTATGCCTTGAATTTTTTTCGTGGACTACTGTAGTGTATTAGTTTAAGGTACTGTTGTTGGATCCGTTTTTTCTTTGGTGCATAAAAATCTTTTGAAGAATACTGTGATGAATAATACGTTACTCTGTGACACAATTTTACTGCCTTGTTTACAGGAAAAATCTTGAAAAAAAGGTTCTTGGTTGACTTTTTGAAATTTCCTGCGAATACCAGATGAGTTCAAATCAAAGTCTGAAAAGGGGTGCTCCTGAAATGCATCCTGAAAATGCACCCGTGAAGCGGGTGAAGCTTGATAAAATATATCGTCTAATGTCTCTGTACAAGGTGCTTTTTGTATTAATGTGACGTTTTTTTTCATTTTCTTGAACGTTGGAAGCACTTATGACGCTGTATCGAGATCCTCCTCTAGTTGAAAGCCCGAGAATTTAATATCTTTGTAATATTGTATGGCTTTTTTTTTTTATTTTTGCGGTACATAAGTAGTTTTCTTCAGAAACTAGGTGCTGAAATAAAAAAAATTGATGACCGAGAAATATCCTTCTCTGATGATTATGATGATATTGAAGAATCGAGGGTCTTGCAACGGCATAGAAAGTTATCCCAGAAGCGTGTTGCCATCTACGAATATTTGGCGAAAAGAGGTGTACTAGTAGATGAAAAGAACAGACTACTGTAAGTTTTCGTTTATGAAATTAAGGCAGTATATTATAAAATAGTCTGTGTTACTTTAAACTATTAGTCTGCTGCTACTTGGCATTGTCTCAGTAACGTCTGTTATCTAAGTGATCTACTTACACTAGAAATCTCTTTTTAACGAATTGGTTCAGATTTTCTTGAAAATTATAAGTTATTAGTTCTTTGCCTTGACCTGCAAGTTTCACAAGAATTCATTTTTTTTATCGGTCTTCCCTGAGCACTTTCCTCTAATTAAAATATGGATTACTTAATAGAAAGTACACATTACCTGGATTTTTTTAAGACTGAAATTGGTAATTTTTGAACAAATTTTTTACACTGATATTTTTCTGGTTTTAAGTATAATTGAATTCCTTCTCTTGAGTTACAAATTCCAGTACGAAACCTTTGTAGGCAAGTGCAGTAGAGAAGATTGATTTTTCTATTTAAAAGGAGATGTGGAACTATGACTAGAGCGAAATATTGAGTTATAACCTGAAAAGTCAGGATGAACCACTTTTCCTAATTATTAAATATGCGTAACCTGATTGGCAGAAACAGCAATTTTTTTCTGAAGCTGATAGTCAAATAAGTTTGAACAAAAGGTGGGGAAGTTTAGCGTGACGGCAACAAGTTTTTTGCATAATTCTTCTTTTTGGGCCAATAAAGTTCTTCATAATTGGCATAAGAGCGGGGAAAGGTACCTGTGGATAGAAAGATCTGAAGGATTAAAAGGGAACTAGCAAATGGTAGACGAAAGAATTTCTGTTCGATATCGGTAACTTCGAGATGAGACAATTGGGATTTAGTGAAATAAAGTAAAAGAATAATTTATTTACAGTGAAGAAAACTGATAAATAGCAGTTTTTGATTTCTAAAGGGGTCAAGTTTAAGAGGTTTAAAGTTATATATGAGCATCAGATTGTATGCTGTTCATTTAATTCCTCAAAATTTTTCAGTTTTTTGCTCATTGATAATGTTTAGCTCTAGACTTAAAAAACGGGGGGTGGGGGTAGGATTGGAAAAGTCAGTTTCCAACCGAGTTATACGTCGTTAGAGCTCAGAAATTTTCTATTTTTTTGCTTAGCCAAGACTTCTTCAACTTTTTTAACTTGGGAACCTCTGCGTAAAACTATCTAAGTTGGGGTCCAGGCAAAAGTTAACCAATTTTTTAAATTAAGAAGAATATACAGTTAATGCATGTTTGGACAAAAACTACCTGAATGCATGACGTAAACCGCAAGGAAATTTTATAGGGAGTTCGTCTTTGAATATTTTTTGAAGAAGTCTGTTTTGTGAAAAATTTCCTGCTAAGTAAATTAAAAGAGTTCCAAAACAGCATTTTTTTGGAATTCTGAGCTGTAGCTTTGGAAGTGAGATCAGTTAGACAAGATACTAAGGAACATTTTGAAAGTATGCAATATGACATAAAATTACCTAAATTTCACAATATTGTCTTGTTATTACACAGTTGAACAAACATTTTACCAGTATAATTTTAGGGGTATAGACTTCTTGGTTTTCAGTGAATTGGTTAGCACACTTCAGTTATTTGTCCGCTTAGATTTTGGTTGAAGAAACTTCTTAGCGGTATCATTTTTTGTTTTACCATGAGTTTCTAAAAGTGTTTTGTGATAGTGCGAAATTTGTTGTGAAATTTTAGATTGCCTGTGAGGTAAAATAATTGTCGTAATTGGGATAGTCTTATGGAATCTTTTTTTCAAAAAAAGACATTTCTTACATTGTGAAAGAGGGTTCAAATTTTTTAAAAAGGAGTTTCTTTTAGGTAAAGCTGTCATTTTTTTATTCAGTACTGCAGGTGGAGTCATAAATCGGATATTAGTTTTCATCTGTCTCTTTTGCGGTATTAAGTTCAGAATTTTTTGCTGGTTAGAGAGCATTTCGAGAGATGAATGACGGGTATGGAAGGATTTTTCAAATCAACGCCGCATAACTCGAATTGAGGAATTGGTTCATAAAACTTCAGCTTGTAAACGTTCACTCGCAGTGTAGTTTTAAAGGCTGCGGTCCCTTTTTGCTTTTATTTTGTAGTTCGCTACTACTAGCAGCTGTAAATTTCAATTCAAAGATTTTATAAGGAGGCTATCTTTTTGTTTATTTTTCTGTTTCTGGGAAAAGTTAAAGAAGTAAGGTTTTTGGATTAAATTTGAGTCGGAAATTTATCTTTGCTTCACGGGGTCCGTTTTAGAGTGTTTAAGTAGAGAAGAATGAATTGTTCGACTATATGATTTACAAATTGGAAACTGAGGTTTTGAAATATTTGAACAGGAGGCGGAGCTTGGATTACAGTGAAAAAATAACGATAAACAATACTGGATCTGAACGCCTGAACGATTTGTTGACGGAGTTTATAAATAGTCCTGGTGACGGGGAAAGGCATTTTGGAATTCTTGGTCATCGTCGGTAAGCAAACTGTTTTACTGAAATGTAGGCTTGTCTTTAAATGTTTCTCTGAGGAATTGCTGGTACGCGTTTTACTCATTCTGGGGAACTTTTAGACATGTGTGTTATGAGGATGTCAAAGATTTAGTAGAGAAACTGCGTGAGGAAAAGGAGGGGAAAATAATACCTGAAGATCCTCTACAGTACGGTATCTTTTTGACACTTATTTGGTTTAATTTTTTTGTTACAGAATTATATTAGCCCTTTTTCACAACGTTTTTTTTTTCTTGATACAATGGTGTCCATTGCAGAAAAGTTCATCACTGATGTAGCCGTAGCAGCCAATGAAAAAGTCAAAGAATTCATTAAAAAGAAGTATGAAAGGAGCTTAGATGAACATTTGGTTGGCGAAGGTTGCATTTTCTTTTTTTCAACATTTAAGTTTTGATAATCATGCATATTTTCGTTTTTAGGTCTCAGTCCGTCAGAAGTAAAGGAACAGTTAGAAAAAGATTCGCTAGTGCCAGCTTCGACCAACAAAATTTCTTGGGACAGCGCCAATTTGGTTTGCTTTAAATCTTTGGCATTAAGAGTTCAAATGGTTTTATTGATTGTTTTTTATCATTCCATCAGATTTTTTTTTACATTTTTGTTTTCAAACATAAATTCTTTTGTTTTTCAGGAACTTTCTAAAATTTACGAGAATGAAAGGGAATTTCCAGTAACGGATGATCCATTATCAACTGCGATTGACGGGACCTGCGCTTTAGATGAAGACGAGGAAGAAAGTGGAGAAGAAGATGACAATGGCGATGATATTGGCAGCTTGATGGATTCGGGTACGGAAGAAGCACTTGATGAGGATTTTTCTGAGGAGGAGAGCGTAGAAGTTCAAAGTGGTGACTCTGAAGAAAATGGCTTGCCTGGAAGCTGCTCGGCAGTTGGTGAAGATGGGACGTGTAAGGGTGTTATTCTGCAGGAGCCTAATGATCTCACTTCTACTGAACATGATCACAGTTTAGAGAATCAGGACAGTTTGGCTTCTTCAGAAGCTATAACTGAGGTTAGTCTTGTGTTCGTTCGAAAATCTCGTTCAATACAAATGCTCTCTGCTGATTTTTTGAGACCGTCTGCAGTTTTTTTATCTTCAAAATACTTTTAGAGTTGCCCGGATAAAAACGATGACATCATTGGAGAAGTTTCTTCTGATAAATCTGTTGATAAATCTGTTGTACTGGTGTCTTCTGAAGGCAGCGACAGTGATGGTTCCAGCATTATTGTTTTGAGCTAACTCTCAGCTTAATGTATTCGTTAACTAAGTACTGTGCAGTCTTCTCAAGTTAATTGCATTGATGTATCTCATTGGTTTCCTTATTTCTTCATATTAATAATAAACTCAAACCTAATTTTTTTCTCGAACATTTTTTCTTGAGGTGTGAACGTTCAATTCGTTTTTCCTATTCTTGTAATCTGTTTATTATCCTTGATGACCTCCTCTTGTAAACTTTTATTCGTCTTTTTGTTTGTTTGTGCCGTTGGTCTCACAGTCTGTGAGAAGCACCTGTCTTTCGGCTGGAGATGCTCATTGTGTTTTTCTGGCCTGCCTCGTAGTTCAAGGTCTAGTTGTGAAATTTGTTCAAAAGGATTAAAATTTTCTGAGGTATAACAGGTACTAAGGTGTATGTAATCATTTTTAAAATATGGTTTCTTTTTTGACAGATGTAATCATTTTGCCACCTCTATACTATTGCGAAAAACACTGCATTTTTTGAAGCAGGATAAGAAAATGAATGTACTGCGGACTGGGCAGAAGGTTCTTCTGTTAGTTTTGTTCACTCGCTTTGGTATCTTTTTTTTTAAAAACCTGGCAAGTTATCACACTTTTTTTGTATTTCAAAGGTAGGCTCATCGGATACTTGATTTTTTTTTCTTTTAAATTCTTCACTTTTAGATTCCTCTTGTACCCTCAACGCTTTCTATTTCTATGGTGTTGTTTTATAACGCACGGGTCAAATGTTTCGTATTATCGCTTGTACCACATGAAACAGGCTGCTTACAGTTTATCAAGAACCTTTGGAAATGAGATCACAGATTAGTAACCGTGCACGTCGGTTGTCCACTGCGTCATGTTATGAGGAAGACGTCTCCGTACGGATCGACGTCGTAGGCTCCTTGATTGCGTGGTTGGCTCAACGTCGCTATCCGTTGATATTTAGCATCTTTGTTTTACACCTGACCATAAATGGGGTGATATTAATATAAAGGTTTTGAGGGCAGACGTTGCCTTCGTAACACGGGTGTAGGGAGGTTCGCTGAATTATATTCACACCTGTCTCCCTAGTAGTACCTTCCATGGTAACTTTTTCATTTACGTTGCCTACTGTATCACATCGCTCCTTATGGCGTCCTGAATGACGAGTTATTTCATCACATTCTGACTACATGAGGTTCTATTTCCAATTCCTGATCAGAAGTTGTTAAAAAAATGAGAGATTCTTCGTCGTCACTAGATTCCGATCTTCGCACGTGGTTTATTGATCGTCTAGGCAGTGGGGTTTTTTCGTCGTTGAGGTCTGCCACTTGCGGGTCGTCCGATGTAACAGTGTTTTTTCGAAGCCGCACTTCTTCGATCGACGGTAGCGTTGGTGGCGTCACAGGTAAAGTTTGGTAATAAAACTGAAAAGTGGTGTATTTTCCCCATCAAAGCAAAAGTATTTGGACAGAGGATAAAAAAATATTGTTCATTTAGACGTACTTTTGTTCTGCCCTCTTTGAAACCATCCGGATTTTGAAAAGCAGATATGTCAAGCTTCCCTTCTCGAAGCTTCTCACGGATCTCGTTCTCCCAGAACAAATTGTTCTGCCTCATTGCTTCAGCCTGATGATTTCCAGCGTGCTTCAGTTTTACTACTTCGTTAGATATTTTAAACGACTAAAAAATGTGATTAACGCAATCGGAATGTATTAAAACGCACAAAGATCTTTCATCTTCTTTGGAATTCTATACAAAGTAGCGCTCATCATGTACTCGTATCAGGCGAAAGTATTTTGAAGGCTACTCTACAGAATTATACAATGATAAGGGGTAGCAAAGTTAAAGATCAGGAAGTAAAAAAGCAAAAATTAACTAACAATGGTTGTTTGATTAAATTCGGCTGGTAATGGACATTCAGGCCATATGATATATTTTGAAGTATCTTTGTAGCGAAGCCGTATTTTTTCACATAATTCTTTTTCAAGTTTCGGTTGCCATAGGCCAGATAAAAACTGCAAAATAATCGACATGTCAACGGTGTATATTGTTCAAATTATTGTTATCTGTGGAAAAAAAAAAAAACAATAATGAAAAGAAAAAAGAAGA